GATAACTATTTAATTATCATTTTTGATATTAGTATCAGTAATGATAATACCAGTATCTGTAAACATCAGTGAGTTATTATTGAAACAATAATGTACTGAAAACACATATTATAAGTGTGAACATTATTTGTTTATAGGAAAAAAAGTATGTTGCCTCCTTTCGAGGATGGAACCATATAATAGGATATTTAATATACAATAGGGGGAAATACAGGCCCCTCCTTGCCATATAAAAAAAAAAGAAATACATCCTGGAATATGTGTCAAGATTCCACTGTGCTTGATAACCAGTTTCTGAATGATATGCCTATTTTGGCTAGACGAAAAGCAAGTCATCCTATATATATGTAGCTATATATTACTTCGAATATATGAATCAGACAGGTCATTCATTTCAAATAAAAGGAAAATTTTCTCTATGACATACATTTATATATTTGTGTGTACATCCATATATATATACAGTGTGATGCGCGATGTTTGTATGTATTGTGTGTGTGTGTTTGTGTGTGTGTGTGTTGTGGTGTGTGTAGTGATGTGTGTGTGTGTGTGTATATATATTAAGTAATTATATAATATATATAGAATAATAGATTAAACTATGTATTAATAAATAAATAATATCACGATTATATTATATATATATTATATATCGGTTTATTAATTGGGAAGGTATATATATATAGATATATTTAGCGAGTAGTAAATTAGAGTTATTATAGTCGGTATAAGTATATATGATATGACTTCGGGGTATATATTTATGTATATGAATAATGGGTAGGTAATACACGACAAATCACACAGCACACACACCACACACGACTACAGCACAACATATGTAGCTAAGATTAGTATGCCTAGGTGATAAAAGAAGTAGGGCTTGAGTTCAAAATGAAATAATAGGTTGGATAGTAGGTGTATACCTTATTGTGCTTATTAACGAGTATATTATATATATAATATGATGGGTGTGTGTGTGTGTGTGTGTGGTGTGATGTGGTGTGTGTGTGTGTGTGTGTGTGTGTAGAGTGTGTGTGTGTGTGTGTGGTGTGTGATGGTGTGTGGTGTGTGTGTGTGTATGTCCTGTGTATATATATATCATATATATAATAGATATATAATATATTAGATATAAATTATTGAATAATCGTGTGTGTGTGTGCTGGTGGTGTGTGTGTGGTGGTGTGTGTGTGTGTGTGTGGTGTGTGTGTGTGACGCGTAACGCGCGCTTGGTGTGTGCGAGAGAGATATTAGTTTTATGTCTATATAATAATATTAGTATAATAACTATAATATATATTAATATAATAACCTAATATACTATACATATATAACATATATGTATAGCATATATACTAATCTAATAATATATATATATATATATATATAAAAGTGATAGCGTAATAATTGTGATGTCAGTGTGTTGTGTGTGTGGTGAGTGTGTGTTTGTGTTGTGTGTTGTATGTTGTGTGTGTAGTGTGTGTATGAGCGCTCAACAGCGGGCGGTTGTTGTGTGTGCGAGAGTTTAAAGTTGTCTATAAACACAACACACCACCACATATTATATTTTATGATATTATATTATGTAGATAATATACTAATTATTTAAAAAAAATAAAAATTATATTTATTTTAAATAAAAAAATAATTTTATTTTATTAAAAATATTTATATATTTAAATATATAATATATATATAGTATTTATATACATAAATATATTAAAATATAGTATATACTATATTATATACACAGCAGTCATAATAATTAAGGTACATATTAATATCAACACATATATATTATATAAATATTATAATATATATATATATATATATATGTATATAGTTATATAATATGTATATATATATATATAATATATTTATAATATTTAAATATATATGTATATATATATGTATTTTAACTTATGTGTGTTGTTTTTGATGTATTGGGATTGTTGTTGTGGTGTGTGTTGTGTTGTGGTTATTGTATATATATTTGGGTGCATATGGTACGTGTATTTGTGCATGTTATATATATATATATATATGTATATATATTATATATAGTATATTAGTATTATTGAATATATTAGATTAATAGTTTTATATATTTATAGCTATATATTATATATAAATAATTATATAAATATACTATATATATGTAACAATATATATATAAGTAATATACATATAGATCACAAGATACAAACAGATAAGACTAAAGAATACACTACATAACATACATAACATACATACATAGTAATATAATATATAATATATATATATATATATTTAAGAAAATGTTAGAATACTAGTATACTATACCTATACGTGCATATATATCAACACACACACACACACACACACACACACGACACCACACATCACCACCACCACATAAATATATAAATACTCATATAATAATATATATATATAGATATTATATATATATTATAATTTAGTATATAGTATAATATATATATTACAACCATATAATGATTATATAATAATATATATATATAATATATATAATATCATATATATATATATATATATATATATAATATTATGTTAAAAGTAATATTATATATGATACATATACCTATATATATGGGTATATAATACTACTTATAATATATATCATAATACCAATACTATATGTAAATATATATATAGTATAAATACTAGATGATCAATATATATATAAATATATAAAAACGATATATAATAATGTTATGTTATCTATATAAATATTATATCTATATAATTATATATATTATGACCGTGACGGGTGCGTGCGTGTGTGTGGGTGAGTGTGGTGTGTGTGTGTGTGTGTTGGCTATGTGTGTGTGTGGTGTGTGCGTGTGTGTGTGGTGTGTGTGTGTTACGCACACCAAACCACACACACACACACACACACACACAGACGACAAACACACACACACACACACTAACTCACGACACATATAAACAACACGACAACATCAATCAACATAACACACACATAACACACTAAAGTACACACACACTATACACACATTAATATATATAAGGTATATATACATATATGATAGTGATTATTAATATAAATTAATATGCCATAAGAGATAAGTCACGTTAGTGCCTATTTATATATATATCAACTTATATTTATGTACTGTAACATATAAGGATAATAAATGTAAATTATAGTAATATGATTTTATATTACTAATGTATAATAAATAGTATATATATATATTTATTCTCGGAAAGGGTTATGACGAGACTGTCTATAAGATGAGATATAAAGATATAGTTATATATATTATAGACTATTAATTATATATATGTATTTAATATAAAACATATGAATAACCACATACACACCTACAAACACACACACACCTAACATCAACCACACAACACACAACACCACACACGCACATCAACCACACACACACACACACCACACACACACACACACACACATTAGATCACACACACACACTCACATATATATTATATATATATTAATAATAGTATCATATATAATAATATAATATATATATTATAATATTAATATATACTATAATAATGATAAATAATACACACACTACACCATATATATGTGTGTGGTTGTGAGTTGTTTGGTGTATGTTTGGTGAGAGTGTGTGTGTGTGTGCGTGTGTGTGGTGTTGTGTGTGTGTGTGTGTGTGTGGTGTGTGGTTGTGTGTGTGTATGTGGTGTGTGTGTGTGTGTGTGTGTGAGTGTGGTACATATATAATGGACCAATATATATATATATATATATATATATATATATATATATATATATATATAATATATACATACATATATATATATATATATATATATATATATATATATATATATAAGTTAGTATATATATATATATATATATATAATATATATATATATACACACACACACCACCACACACATCAGCACACAAACACAACAACACACACACACATACAATTATATATATATTATATATATATATATATATATATAATATATATTTATATTATATATACTTTATATATATATATATATATATATAATATATATATATATATTATATATATATATATATATATATATATAATATATATATATATATATATAATATATATTATATAATAATTCTATTATATATGTATATATAATATATTATATATATATATATATATATATATATATATATATATATGCATATATAGATAAGTATAGATAGATAGATAGATAGAATAGATAG